TTTCCCCCTCCTGATTAGATTATTTGTGTAAACATGCAGACCTGCTATTATTTCTTCCTGTTCACACAAAAACATCCTTAATTCCACTTCTCTCTCCTGTGTCCATTTCTCTCCTTCCTTTCACAGCACTCTTACAAAGCCTTTTCCTTGCTTGCAGTATCTGCTCTTTCTCCTCCCATTCACTTTTGAACACATAATGGAATGGTCCCTTCAAGATGACTAATTACCTCCTCCCCCATTGCCAATCCCAGGTCATTCTGCAGTCCTTGTTGGCTGGTCCTATTAGCAGCCATCACTGGCTTCTCCTGAAATACTTTCTCCATCTGACTCTAAGACACCACATCTGTCTGATTTTCCACCACCTTTGTGCCCTCCTTCTCAGTCTCTCCTGGTTCCTTCTTTCATCACCCAGACTGGTTAAGGTTGAGTCTTCTTTTTCTGTCTGTCTTCACTTCCTGAGGATCATGGATTGTTATAGTTTTATAGGCTACTTTTATGCTGAGGACTCCCAGATTTCTTTCTTTGCGGGGTTTTTTCTTTTTATTTATTTATTTCTTTTTGTTTGTTTCTTTTTTTTTTTTTGAGACAGGGTTTCATTATGTAGTTCAGGCTGGCCTTGAAATCACTATATAGCTAAGGCTGGCCTTGAACTCACGGCAATCTTCCTGCCTCAGCCTCCTTTGTACTGGGATTATAGGCGTCCACCACCACACCTGGTGGACTCCCACATTTCTAACTCCAACTTCAACCTCTGGCTTGAATCTGGACCACATAGCCAACTGCCTATTTGCCACTTCTGCTTGACTTTTAAAAGGATTTTATACAATTGCATTTTAGGTACTAATATATAAAATAGGATGTCATTCTTCATTCATTTATGCTCTCATACTCCACGCTTGGTTTGTCAACATACCGTCTCACCTAGTAGTCTCTCTGTATATCTATCTATGACTCCTTATCATCTCTTTTCCTGATTTACGTTTTTTTTTTTGGTACCAGGGATCGAACTCAGGTCCTTGCACTTGCGGGGCAGGTGGTGGAACCACTGAGCTAAATCCCCAGCCCATCCTGACCTATGGTTGTAAAATTTAACTAGTCTCACTATTTCTGTTCATGACTCTCTCCAGCTTATTCACATCTCTGTTCTGCTTAAACCACTCCAGTGGCATCTCATCTTACTCAGAGTAAGAGCCAATGCCCTTCTGCAATCCTAAGATCCTGTATAATTTTCTCTCCCCGTTAATGCTTGGCCTCATTTCTTATTACTCTCCACGATACCGATACCCTATTTGCTTCACTCCCGTCACACGGGCCTCCTTGTTTTTTCTTGACTATGTCAGGCAATCTTACAACTCGGTCCTTTGCACTTGCTCTTCTTTCTGCCTGAATGCATTTAATCACGTATCCTTCGTTTAAATTACACCCTTTGGTGAACCAGTTGTAACCCCCTCCAAACTCACTCTTCATATTCTCTTTATTTTTCTTTCGTTAGGATTATCATTCTGTACATACTATATTTTTTGCCAGTCATATTAATTGTTGTCTTCTCCTGTAGGAAGCAGTTCAAGGAGCATGGGATCTGTCTGTTTTGTTTGCTGTGTATCCCTGGCCCTAGAACAGTGATGGCGAAACTTTTAGAACTTTCGATGATAACCAATAGCCTGCTGTGGCACGCATGTCATAGTTTCACCACCACTGCCCTAGAACATACTAAGCAGGGCCGGGGATTTAGCTCAGTGGCACCGTGCCTGCCTCACAAGCACGATCCTGAGTTCGATCCCCCCAGTACCAAAAAAACCAAAAAAATACCAGGTAGTCAATATTTGTTGGGTGAGAATGAATTCTATTTGTAATGAACATAGTAAACATAATGAACAGGCCAATGAGGCAAAATATACACAATGCTGCTTATTATACACAGATTTTTGTGATAACTATTATTAAAAATAGTTAATGTTTCATCTTCTGTATTCCTACATCATCAAAAGTAGAGTTACTTCCATTTAAAACATTGGAATTGTGGGCTGCCTGATTTTTGTGTGTGGCATTTTTAACTAGAACATTTCTCAGTGATATTGAAAAATTTATAATATAAAATACTATCATCCTTGTGGTACACTATTGGAGCACATGATTGTAATCACAAAATTGAATAAGATAGATTACAGATAAATTTATGGAGGATTGGGAGGTCATTGAAGTTCAACTATTCACCAGCAGAGGGTGCTACTGATTCACATTTCCACAGAGTATAAAGTGAAATTGAACTAAAGAACAGGTTTCAAAAGTATACTTGATATTTTACAAATGTGCATTGCCTGAGGTGATCATTGTCTCCCATTTGTTCCGGATTTATGTATTTGTGCATTTTTGTTTGTTTGTATTGCATTTTTAAAACTCAGAAATGGTATAAGCACTATTTTGTGCCTGAGTTTGACTAATAAACGTAACCATATAATTTGAAATGGCTTATACTGATAAGTTCTTATAGAACTTTTTTTTTTTTTTTTTCTTGCAGTACTGGGGATTACTCCCAGGACCTTCACAGTGAGCTACATCCCCAGTCCCTTTTCCTGTTTTTAAAAAAGTTTTGAGACCGTATCTTCCTAAATTTTCTAGACTGGGCTTGAACTTAACAGTCCTATTGTTTCAGCCTCCCAAAGGGGTGAGGTCACAGGCATGCACCACTTTCTTTTAGACAGCTGCACTGTATCCCAAGGTGTGTATGAACTGTAATTTACACAACCACTAACTTCCTAGAGAAAACTAGGCAACCACCAGCAAAGTGATGCAGGCAGGGTCCTAGCTCTCTTGCTTCCCAAATAAATCCTAAGTTCATGGAATCTTAACAGTAGTAGAAAAAACAGGAAAGAATGTTTTTGGTCAGAAGGATCTTTCTAAGCCTACCATAAATTCAGAAACCACATGAGAAAATACTGAAATTTAATTATATTTTTAATAAAACAATACTTCGAAAAACATAAAAGTTACATGATATATTGTAAAAATGCATTTGTATAACACATATTACAAAGAACATATTACACCTCATACCGAAAGCTTTCATAAACTGATTAAATCTAGCTTCACTGGAAATGGACCAAAGAACACAAATAGAAATGGAAATGCAAATGTATTTAAACATAGGAAACCAAAATGATCATAGGAGAAATGCAAATTAAACGATGACACACCCTACTTCACCTGTTAGATTGGCAAAGATCAACACATTGTTCTCAGGGGGACATGGGTAGCCCAGTTGGCTCCAGACTGTTGTGAGATTAAATTGGTATGAACTCTGCGGAAACAGATTTGGCAATTGCTATCAACATTTTAGAATGAAAATTTGTAGACTTTTTTTTTTCTTTTAGTCAAATCTCCTTATTTGAATTACCTGCATGTGCTTAACCAGAGGGAAGCCACATAGAGTTTAAAAACAAAGAGAAGTGGTGGGGATGTAGCTCAGTGGTAGGGCACTTGCCTAGTGTGCTCAAGGCCCTGGGTTCAATCCCCAGCACTGCAGTGGATAAATCAAATAAGAGAAGATATTAGAAATTTAATAGAGTTATATGTCCTTTGTGTAATGTGGATGACAACTATGTTGAGTTATGACAATTAGAAGAATCTCTGAATGTATTTATCAGCGGCCTTTAGGAAAATGACACATAACTGTGTAAGCCTTTAATCCGTGAAGGTACAGGCAGGAGAAAGGGAACTAACAAGGGAAGCTATGGTGCTGGCATCGTGGCTTTAGGAAGCATTACCATCCTAGGAAGGGGACAGGTTCAGGCCAAGTGAGGACTGTAGCTTTAGAAGAGGACCACCCACCAAGAACTGAGGCGAGGCAGGGACTCGGGGCAGACCAGACAGGGTGGAAGCAGGAGAATTCTCCAAGTTCTTTTCCCTCCTGCCCATTTACCTTCTGCTGGTGCCTCTGCTGGCCAAAGCCAGTGGGAAATCAGGGCAAAGGACAGAGCTGGGTGAATGCCATCCATAGACAGAGACACTGAGCCAGGATGGGTAGATCTTGCTCTGTATTCACAGTGTAGATCTGGAAGAGCAACGAATGATATTCATTTAGTAAAAGAGTAGATCTTGCTAAAATATTCAGGGGCTTTCTTCATTTGCATCTCTTTCATATATATGGTCTATATGGCCAATTTTTCTTGAAAGCATTCCCTTTGTTTTTCTTCTTTTCAGAATGAGACCCATTGGTCACTAGGATTCCCAACCCCTTTCTTTTTGGTACAACAACTTTATGAAAATTGGCTTTCTGAAAACACTGTACTTGCTAGTTAAGACAATGATACTTAGACCATAAGCACACTAAAGAGCACATTATAAGAAATAATGCATTTTTCATGGAGTGGATTTTGGGAAAAAAAATACATATGCTGTGTTTGGCTCTGTGTGTATTGGAGGAGAATGATTCTACAGTGTCTTTTTCTGCCCTTCTTTCCTTTCTTCTAACAGTGCCTCTTGACTGCACCCTCTTCCTCCTTCTATACCTGGCTACACAGAATGATGCCCATGGATCAGCCAGAGGTTTATCCTGGAGATCCATAGGTATATTGAAAGTAATGTTTTGATGTCTGACATTGAAGATTATGTTAGAGAGAAGGGTGTGTATATTTTTAAATAGATTTTTAAAAACCTATCTTTAGGACAAGATTTAATTTCTCTGAAATACCATTTTGTAGAGTGGGATCAGCATCCTTAAAAATTCTCTGATTATGACTGCTCAGTAGCTTTCAGGTCTAGAAATACCAGTAGTCCTGTCTGCTCAGTGTCCCAAAAGGAAATGTCATGCTAAGTAAGTAACTGTACTGTTACCAACTCACCTGTATTATAGCATATCATGAACCGCCATCTTGGTTTTGTGTTTTTTCTTTAGCATTTGCCTGCTGTGCACACCTCCCTCTGGTGATTAAACACATATGCTGCATTGAAGAAGCTGTTCCCACAGGGACGGCCTGTTTCTGGTTGCCACTGGGTGACAATCACCAGCGTATGCTGTCTAGGATCTGCCCTTTTCCTTGTTTTCTCCCAGTGGGCAGAGACCCTGGCACTGGGGGTGTCCATGGGGTTAATGCGAAGTAAGAAAATCACCTGCTACCAGGGCTGACTCATTGCAGATGCCTTGGGACTTAGTGTTCAGGTGATTCCTTTCGCTGCTCTGAGAAGCATCAGGTATGATACACTCACTTGGGGCAGGAAGTCAAAGTATAATTTGTAACACAAGAGATACGGTCTAGTGCACTTGGAATTTGAATATTATTTCTGGCTCTTCTACTGGCTTCTTTATGACTAGGAGGAAAATCTCTCTGGGTGTTGGTAGTTTCAGTATCTGTGGATTGATAAGCATGGGTGTTATAATAGTTCCTTTCGTGGGAAATTAATCAGAACAACTCCAGCACAAGGAAGGAGCCAGACGGTCCTTTCTTTTGAGGCACTGTTTGATACTTACGAGGACATCTAATATCTGAATAGTGAAGGAGTTTCAGAAAGACCCTAACATGACTGAGAATACGCAGTGTGCAACATGGCTCTAGGGCTGCAGATGTAATATCGCATTTAATCCCAGCAGCAAACAGAGATAGTCATTGCATATCAGAACAGGGACACAGATGAAGAAACTGAGGCACAGAGGGTTAAGTAATTTGTCTAAGGTCACAAAAGCCAATAAGAGGCAGAGCTGGGATTTAACTCAAGTTTATTCAAACCCAGAGGCCCCAACTCTTTAACTGCTACACTCCACCCCTCTTACCTGGTGATACAAATGCTGACCACGAGAGTCAGAGCATCTGTAAACATCTAGATATTCAGAGTCCCCCAGGTGCAGGAGGCGGGGAGAAGTGAGCCATCCCTGTGCTGAAGTCTGTGAAGCACGTGAATGAGCACCCAAGGCTGCCGGGGAGGCCCGTGGGTTTTACTTAAAACTGCAGTTAAGCGTGTCAGCCTTGTGCTTAGAGCCTGGATCCTGGTTTGGTTTGCTTTCTGTGTAATGATTGGTTTTGTTTTGGCCCGTTCTCAAGGCCTCTGTCTAAGTTGAACTTTATTTCCCCTGATGGGAAATGACATTGTAGTGTCATTTTGTACTGTGGATCGAACCCAGGAAGTACTGAGCTACCTCTCTGGCATTTTTTATGTATGTTTTAAATTTTGAAACTGCATCTTGCTAAGCTGCCCAGGCTGGTTTTGAACTTGTGATCTTTCTGCCTCAGTCTCCCAAGTAGCAGGGATTATAGGCATGGGCAGCCACGCCTGGCTTTATGTATTTCTGAATCCAGACAATTCTACCTATGCAAACTGACACTTTTCATTGCTCCAGGTCCCGTACCTATCTCAAGACTGCTTGCCCAGGATGCTGAAACAGTGTAGTCTCTCCTTTGCTCCCACCTAGCCAGAACATGTTACATAAAACCTAATACATGTCCCACCTCTACAAACCCTTCTTGACCCATATTGAACTGACCCTATCCTGACCTTCTTGGAGCTTAATTTATACATTTAACTATTGTATTTTGCATCTCCAAGACTAGATACAGTCCTATAACAGGTAGGGACAACATCATTAATGTTTTTGAAAACTACACAGCACTTGGCTCAATAGAAATTTAGGTAATTTAACTTAAAAATAACTCGTGCGTCATCCTGATTAGAGAACATTCGGAGGGAAGTCTTTGAGTTAGGGTGGCCGGTGCTCCAACATGGCGCCACGACCAAGATTTCCGTCTTCATTTCTCCTCCCAGCTTCCTGACACCGCTACTTGTTAAGGTACCTGAGGCAGGTGTAGCTGGTCAGCGGCTTCCAGCGTTTGTCCTTCGCCCCACACAACCTGCTCGTATAAATTAGCTCCTCCCACCCGCTCATATCGGCCTTGCTCTCTCTTCCTGGTTCCGGAAGGTGGTTCTTGGTGAGGTCAAGGAAAAAGTAAGATGGTGAGTTTACCCCCAGGAAATGGTTAAACTTCAGCCCCTGCTGGTTTTCAGTCACCTAGAGTCTAGGAAGTACAGCCCTAAGGGGTAGGATGGGGCAAGGAATGTGGGATGTAAGCGGCCTTGCTTCCCCCTCACCCCAGCCTCAACCTCAAAATGCTTGTGGCAAAGACCGACTTCCAATATCAGTCTACATTGGACGCGTCACAGAATAAGTTGAAAAGTTGAATTTAGAAAAGAAAACTGCTAAGCTGGTCATGACGGTGCATACTGGGAGGCTGATGCAGAAGAGCTGCCTGTTGAGCCCAGCCTGGGGAATTTAGAAACTCAGTGACGCTGGGGATTTAGCTCAGTGGTTCCGGCACCTGCCTGGTAAGCGCAAGGGCCTGAGGTCGATCCCCGGTACCAAAAAGAAAAAGAAAAAAAAAAGGAAACTGAAACTCAGTCCCAGTCTCAAAATAATTTATTTTATTATCTTTGGTTTCTTCTTTTTTTATTGGTACATTTTAGATACACATAACAATCACATTCATCATAGGCAATTTATACTGGTACATGATTTATCTTGATTTTTCTTTTTTCCCCATTCCCCTCTCTTCCCTTCAACCCCTCTTCCCCTCCTTATTCACAAAAGCTTTGTTTCCATTTTTTTTGGTACCTGGGATCGAACTCAGGACCTTGCACTTGTGAGGCAGGCAGTGGAACCACTGAACTAAATTCCCGGCCCTCCATTTTTTTCTTCTATTCTTTCTCTTTTTTTCTTTTGTCTCGTCTTTCCTTTCCCCTCTCCCCTCCCTTGTTTCCCTTCTCACTTGAACATTTTCTTCCCACTTCCCAATACCTATTATACATTTTGGTTCTTACTTCCACTTTCGGTTTCTCACACCAGAGAAACAATGTGGTATTTAAACATGTGTGTCCAATTTATTTCACTTAAGAGTGGTTCCAAGGTACATTCATTTACCTAGAAATGTCTCAAGCTTATTATCTTTGGTTTTTTGAGAAAGTGTCTCCCTGTGTAACCCTGGCTGGCCTTGAACTCACAACGATCCTCCTGTGTTAAATGAATGGTGGGAAGGGAAGGTTCCAGCTTAATTTTGTTTTAAGGGAGGTTTCAGATGTAGCTCAGTGTAAAGGCCCTGAGTTTAATCCCAAGTACCACAAGAGACAAACAAAAAGCAAACAGCTGAAAAAAATAGGGAATTAGATTAGCTGCCTGATGAACTAGGTTTCCCAGAAACATTGGCAAATGGCAGAATTGTTTTCAAGTGGGCAGATACTTAAGGTCTTACTGGTGGTTTCCAGACTCGGTCACTTGGATGTACAGTATTAGGGAAAAACAGTGATGGAGTTTTGGAGGCTCTAACAACTTGGGAGTACCTTGATCCTTGGAGATTTCTTGTAAGTCTTCTGGTTCCTGAGAAGAAAACCAGACTTCATAAAATAAGAAGTGAAACACAAGAACATAGGCATTGTTGAGAAGCACATGTCTCTGCTATGCAGAAATTGTTGAGAGATGTTTCTAAGAAGGTGGGCGTAATCCAGTTCCAAAGTGCAATATAACAAGGTCCAGTGAGTGGTGGGGAGTGAGGGTCCCTGTTACCCCAGCTGGTGTTCATGTATACGGTTTGCACCTAACAGATGTGCTGGGGCGCTTACTAAATCTGGGACTTGTGGTTTGCAAGTCATTTTGATTAACAGCTATTATCACTATCCCAGAAAGGGTGTTATTTTGTCACATAAAATATTAGTCACACTGAGACTGTAGACAGTTTAATCAGGCAAATATAAAGCTCATGGGTTAAGTAGAAAACCACGCTCTGTCCTCTCACTGGGCCCAATAAAGGCAGGTGTTTCTTGTTAGGTTTTGGTGACGTTTGATGGCGTCTAACCCATAGTGAGGGCCGTCTTGGCAAAAGGAGTCTCTTATTTTTTACCTACACACATATTCACAGTTTTTGGATCCTTCAACTAAAGATTGTGTTTTAATTAAACCACCAAGTGGATTTCACTTAGATGAGTCATGAAAGATGTGTCTCGATTTCATAATAAATATTGAAGCTTTTAAAAATAGGCCTACCTGATCTAAAGCTTGGAAGTACAATGTTCAAGAAGTAATATTAATAAGGAAGGGAAAAGTTAGATTGTTGATAAAGGAAAAATAATGATTGTCAACGTTTTTTTTTAAGTTAGATTCACGTTATCTAAAGGGCTTTTTCAAGTGTGCTGAAATCGGCAACTTCAAGAATTCTACTTTTGTACATCTGTATGACTTGGGATGTTTTTATTCCAGTGAAATTCAAGTGTTCATGATTGAGGAATATGTATATTGATAAACACAAATTACATCTTTGCTTGCAAATCCTTAAGGAATAAGTAATACTGTTCATATTATACACACATAGTGGATGTAGTATAACTCACTGAAAACTCCTTTTGGAAATCAGAACAAAGGAAATCTCAAAATTACAAGAAAAAAAAAAAGGCAGTGTTGTAGCTCAGTGGTAGAGCACTTCCCTAGTGTGCCTGAGGACCTAGGTTCAATCCCCAGGACCCCCCCAAATCTATAATGTAGCTGAGGTCCCACGCGCTTAGAAGCAGCAGTTCTCGCCATTAGTAGATGGCAAGATTGGGATTTCTATGAGTGTACCATATTTACCTGACAAATATTCAATCAGCTAAAAGAGATAAAGGGGGAATTCATTTTCTTTTCTTTTTTTTGGTAAAGTAATGCAGTTTATTTTTAAATTTTTGGTACCTGGGATTGAACTCGGGACCTTCCACTTGTGAGGCAGGTGTCGGCAACACTGGGCTAATCCCTAGCCCAGGACTTTGTTTTCAAAAGGAGACTCTAAGGAACTAGTTCTCCTTGTAAAAATCACTTTTACCTTCTAGCTTTTAGTTAACACTTTTGGAAAGGCAGTTATTGTGCAAAGCAAGTTAGACCTGTATTTTTAAATGCTATGGCAAATTACAGCTAACCTTTTCTACTGGGATCTACAACTGAAACAAAAAAAAATTGGATAAAAAAGGCAGGAGCTATTTCTAAGCCATATAGGGAGAACGTGGCACAAGTGTTGAAATCTTTATCGTCCCATCTTATTTTACTGAACTTCCACAAATGTTCTGCTCCATATTAGAATGAACAAAACAGGTTAATCTTGGGAAGTTTTGTCAGCTCGTCAAGAGCCAGTGTCTTAAGTGTACTGGGAGGTTTCAGCGTATCACCTGCCAAGCAGGGCTCATCAACGTTTAGGTGAGTCATCAATGTTTAGAAAACATGATGGAGACAGAAAGATGGCTTGGGAAAGCAACTAGAACTGCATGTCTTATAGCCTGGGAACATTAATCTGCATCAGTTACGACTCCTACAGAGTGAGGGTTTCATCCTTCTCGGACGGAATCCCACTGCAGAGTTCAGTGGTTAGGTAGACAAGGGTTACAAGTCTACGGTTCTCATTCTAGGGTCCCTGTTGGCTTTGTATCCAACTTTTATGTTAGTGCAAGGGAGAAACCAGCAACTCACATCGACAGCAGTGAAACCATGTAGCCAGTGTCTAATGAGGCTCTGCTTGGCTTGGGAGGTCAGGGGTGTTTTGTCTGAGACACACTTAGTCAGCTACTGACTTGGATTGTCGTGTGTTCACAGGTGCATGCTCTTCTGTCTTCAACCAGTACTTCACGTCTGTCCTCCTAGCACGGCAGCTCCTGCTGGGATGAGGGGGATTCTCTGGGAGAGATGGTAGCTTAAAGTAGTTGAGAGCCAATTGTCAGTCTTCAAACCTGGTAATTACACATATTATATATAATTGTGGGTAATCAATTGTGCCAACAATAACGTACTGAGTATCTAAAAAAGTCATGCCATGGTTTTGATTACAAGAATTAAAAATAGTTTTAGGAAATAACAGGCACATGTATGTGAAGTTATCTAACAATAGAGGACCAAATTTACATGAAAATACCATGCACTTATAAATCCTAGCATAGATGAGAAAGAAGTTGAGTGAGTATACACCAGCTTGCAGATTATAATAGAAGAATGTTCTTAGGCTTGGTTTTGAAAGATAAACCTGGAATACATGGAAAGGAAGGTACTGTCAGGTGACAACATGAAGGTTTAGAGATGGTCATTACCCCACTGGTGGCTGAACTTTGTTGGCATCATACTGAAGTAAGATGGAGTCAGAGTGAGAGGGTTTGAATATCTTTCCAGTCATTCCAGTTTCTTTCTTTTTATATTTTGTTGCTTAAATTCTTTATTGGTACATTTGAGGTATACAATACATTTACATTTGTCATTGGGCGCTTGTACCTGTACATGATGTGTCTTAGTTCTTATATTTTCCCCATTCCCTGTGCTCCCTTCCCTATTTACAAAGACTTCATTTCCATTTTTTTTCTTTTCGCATCATTTTTCCTTTCCCTTCTTTCCTTTCCCCTTCCCGTCAAACTTCCCTTACCCCTTTGGACCTTTTCTTCCTATTTCATATTATAAATTATTCATTTTAATCATTTTAATCCTTATTTACACTTTCAATTTCTCACAC